CTATTTCGTTGGATACGTTTGGACCCAATGCAGCAATAACCTTATGAGCCCCACTGCTGCCTCCATTAACACCCCTATAATTAACCCTGCCCAAACTTCGGTGACGTCCATGACGATTAACACGCTTACTAGCATCACGCCCGCCGCTTACAGCCTCACTTCCATCATCGTTGTCATAACCTCTCATGTTGAATATTACATCTCCCAAGTCCGCTACCAGAAATAACACTTCCGACGCTCTTTCAGCTACCACCACTGCCGCCGCCACCAGCAGTGATGTGCATCTGATATCAATCTGTTCTCATTGTGGTCGCACCTTCATCTCAAGTATTAGTCTGGTCGACCACTTACGAATTGATCACACAGGGACCTGTGAACCAGTGCCAAGGGCACCGACATACGCTAACCGCACAGGCCTCAAATTTCCACACCACACATGCACATTCAGACACAGCATGAGCCTATGTGATCCCATGTTCTCCCCATTGAAACCCATGGTCATACCATATCACCACATGCCTCCGCGTTAGCGACTACACCCTACACACCGCAGGCATGAATACAACACCTCTCGCATAGGTGAGAACTGTGTTCTTGGGCTTCTTCTCCGTATGGCTCCTCTACTACATGTGTGATCCAAGCGGTTAACCCTCAATGTGCGCAATTCATGTGTGTTGTGTTGGGGGAAGCAAACCATGAGTGCGACACGAACCGACGGGCTGTTCTCAGTCCTCCCATTCATCTCTCCCAATCCCGGTAGCATTTCGTTAAACAGCCCGGATAATCAACTGGTGCATGAGAAATTAGAAGGGTGGACTCCCAGCGTATTTCACAAGCTGACGTGCGTGAATTTATCATGGTCAACTAAAATACGTGGCCCGGAAGATTGCCACCTCATGGGATAACTCGGACCTAGTAGTCGGCCCAGTGTGTATTCACGTGGACTGGCCGACTAGTGAACTGAGAGTCCGACTGCAATGGCAATCCCACTCAGTAGGCTCAAAAATGGTGTGGTGGCTCGCTGAGCTAGCCACCTGCGCCCTCTCTTGCCTTCGGCCTTCATTACTTGGACATGATTACGGGTCAAAGCTTGGAAGGAAAGAGTGCTGTACATGATGCGCGTATAATCGATCCTATTCCTATCTCACTGTGAGATACACGGTGGACATCGTCGGAACCGACGGTCAAGCTGTCAGGACTGCAAAAAAAGCAAATGTATTCGGGCTTCATGCGTTTTCGATGTTCCATAGCCTGCTATGAAAACGTGCTAGCCATTCTAAATCTGGAACCATGCCAAATGCCTGATAGCTTTCCTGCTTGCTAATTTGGATGGAATTTTATTTAAAAATTGCATATAGGATCTTGACTAGCTGAATTTGAGCGATATAATTGGAACTACCCCATGCTGCAAAAGAGCTTCGATAATAGTTATTCAACTAAGATCTGGGAAAATAAATGGCCTGAATGCTAAAACTAAACTTAACGTGAAAGAAATATCTGTGTTTGTAAACTTCTAACAGTTAAGGCCTTAGAATGTAGAGCTCCTAAGCTGATCTAAAGGAAAACAAAAGGATAATTCTGGTGACGGAAAAGCTGCAACAAAGCAGCAACAATATGACGTACTTCTAAAAAGTTGAAGCGGTGATTTATGAGAAGAGCGAGAACAGCCGCTGGTATGACGAGATAGAGCATGCTAAGGGTGTCCTGTTCACGATTGAAAGTTGTCTTGAATTTCACATACATGCTGTACACGGTGAAGTACGAGAGAACGATGAAAGCGACCTTCATGAGTGAATTATAGTAGGAGACTGTATAGACGAAGAGGTCCAAATAGCGTGTTGTGAAGACCAGGGCAAACAACAATTGCGTCTTTCCAGAGAGGCCTGAATGCATATAAAACAAGTATCAAGGGTGGAACAATGAGAAAAACGTGCATATATATACATATGTTAAGAAGGCTTGGTGAAAATTTGGACGACGTTCAGATTTTACCAGCAAAGGAGGTGGAATAGAGTATATACTAAAGAGAAATGTCGAAGAATAACGCAAATTAACCCTAAAGAACCCGTTTGCTGACGCTTTTGTACGTGACGTAAAATATTCGTCAACCGTCTTGTTTACGTGTTTTTTTTACTTCCTTGCCTGGCTATCCGGGAAGAGAGATAGCCTAACAGCCAATCTGCGGGTTATTCAGTGCCCCCGACGGTTGCGCACGGTCAAACCATCTCTGATAAAGGTTAGCTACGACCTGAGCGAGTTTGAATTCGACAAATGAAGAGTCGCACAAGAGCAGAGGCAATGCAAATGGGGCGCGTAGGGCGCATGACTGGCAAACCACCTGCTTTACAAAAGATTTATTATTAGGAGGGGATAAGCAGATTTGAATAATTCAATTGACCCAATTGTGAAACATTTGGTGGCCGCGATGAGATTCGAACCTAGGCCAGAAAGGGAAGACTTGAGTACAGCTAACGCTCTAGCTAACTGAACTGTCAAGGTCCTACCGGGATCCGTGGATTTAATTACAGTTGAGTCGATTTACGCGCTCAGCCTACTGCACCGTATGGAATCCACCAATACTGATAGGGTAAGCTGGATCCTGGCGTGGACTCGAATCCCATCGAGACCGCCGAATCTTGCACACGTTGGTCAATTGGATTATTCAAAGCTGCCAGACCCCTCTTAATAGTTAAATGTGCCTGATAGTCCGCTGGCGGATCCTAGACTAATTTCTTAGGAAATCAGGCTTGGGCGATCGACTTACTGCATCAGTATGTGTCGATTTCCTACGTTGCAGTAGGCTAGGCGGGTAAATCTATCCAAGTCTGATTAAATTAAGGGATCCCGGGGTAGCCTCGATAGTTCAGTTGGCTGAAGCGTTGATTGCCCTCAAGCTTTTCCTCA